CGAAAACTACGCATATAACCAAAGCAATTTAGTAACCCATACATCCAAACGAGAACACCAAATGAAGCTGAGAATTAAGAAGCTTACACCGAAGAGTTGATCGGCTTCCTTATGGTTTCTCCGCGAGAGGTTGTGTATCTTGCCTGCAAGTCGAGCATCCTTCGTGCCTGCATAGAGACCTTAAACAAGTCGAGCATCCTTCGTGCTTCTTGCCTGCAAGAAGTAAACAATCAAAGGGAACATTTTGAGGCATATTTCCACCTTACAAATATGATAGTATCATACTGTTCATAAACTTGAAACAAGGACTATCCAGTGCACAGTATAGAGACCTTAAACTGAACTGGGGCTTCTGATTAGCCTCTCTTCAGGTTCCTTCTTGGCTTCTTTGTAAAAACACACAATTTTATTTACCAATTCTCTATTGGGACTGCTGTAATCCATAAATTGTTTCACAAATGGAGTCAAATATTCATCATCTAACACATCATCAACAAAATACTATGTAAACCTGCTTCTCAACGAATATGGAAAGTCCCTCTTTCCAGCATCAGTAGCAGGATTCATACAAGCAAATATACAAAAATCAGGATGTCAATGAATATAATCAACATCTCCCCTTTCAGCTAAACAAATTAAACTATCGTCTCCTTCCAAAACCCCTGTAATTCTCTGTAGCATCTCAGGAGGAGCCAAATTTATTTCATCAAGTAATATCCAATGACCATTTTTAATTGCTGTCACGAATGCTCTTTCCACAAACAAAAAGACCATAGCTGAAGAGCCAATCTGCCTATGTGCTGTCTCAGGTTTCATGGAAAAACGCTCCCAAGCTTGGATGAGTTCTTCACTCAGGTCGCTTTCGCTTTGTACCAGATAGAGATCTACCAACCTCACAAACTTGCTTCCTGGAAAAACCAAGGCCTTTCTGACATCCATTTAATACCATTTTCCAGTTCCTATCAGACACATGTTTTCTCAGACAAACAAGAAAATCCCCATTGTCCTGCATACAAGCACAGAAGAGTACTGTCATATTTTGCCTCTTATCAACAAGAAAAGAAGCTATAAAGAAAAAAAATTGCAATCAAGGTTATTATCATCCAATCATAGTGGAGGAATGGCGAAACAGGATTCATGTTGACCAATCCCATATAGTTGGCGTAAGGCTTGGATCATGATGATCATCATCCAATCATAGTGGAGGAAAGTTGCAATTATCAAACAAATTATCCAAAAAAAAGTTGCAATTATCAAATACCAAGTCCCTGATGGAAAAAATCAGGACACATATGATATCACCAGTCACAACAAGATAATGTTTATAGCTAACCAACTGATAAAAGATTGTAATAACAACAATAAGAAGACAAAACTACAATTTCAGGATAGATGATCCCTAGTACAGTTGGCTCCTACCTTCCACATTATGGCAAATTGAAGTACAAGTACAAGCAGAAATTCAGAAAAGGAGATTGAGTTTGGGGATGGGAATAGATAAGCAAATTATAAACAGGTATTCATATAAATCTTGGATCTGTAGGCTTAAAGCCACCCAATAAGTCTGAAATGTCACTTTGTTGGCTTAAGTTCTGCAAGATAAGCAAATTAGCATTCAATTTCTAGTCCACATGATAAGAGTCCCGTACACAAAAGAACCATCATAATGACAAACTGCCTAGACAGAATACCAAGACTGTAAGTGATTAGCCAAGCCTCACTGCAAGATTCTGTACAAGAGTTGTTTTTCCAGTACCAGTTTCACCAACCAAAAGAACTGGCTCATTGCACTTAACAGAACATGCTATCCTCTCAAGAACATGTAGTGAACTACAGATATCCACAAAAGGTTTCTTTTAGTGATGTAACTGCAGAAAACACATCAAGGAAAGTCAACCAATGTCAGAAAGTAAGCAACAAGTAATATAAAACAGAGTAAGTGCTTACATGTAATGCAGCTTCAGTGCATTTGAGGGTAACCCTTCCAACTCATAAATCTGATTGCAAATCCTGCAGGAAAAAAAATTTCAGATTTTTGTACTTGATGCTCATAGCACAAACGTATCAGACACAATGATTAGAAAAGACAGACACCTGAACTATGGGCTTATTAAGAGGATATAATGTTTCTGCTTCTGACATCGGTACTCCCCACATCTTTGCTATTTGTCTCATTATTAACAGTCGACTTTCAGAAGAAATTGAGGAAGATGCGAAAATAAATACAAACCCACAGTTTATTAAGTAACCAGTAGAAACAAGTAGATAGTCATCCATCACATTATCACAAGAAGGAATAAAAAGTGGAAATCAAATACAACCTCTTGACAAATGCTTTTACTTTCATAAGCTGATAAGCTAAGCCCCATAAAGTTAAAACCTTGACCTGTGATTCTTTTGCACCATTTCAGCAGATCCCTGTAAATATATAACAAAACATGAAAAATAATGACATCTGTTGGGGTCTYATTATGCACAGAGTTGCTAGAGAGGCACTATCTACCTTAAAGAGAACCTGCTTAAAACAGCAGAARAAGCAGGAAAACCAACACATCCTCCAGGCTGGTAAGATGGAGAAGAGTTGACCTTTCCAAATGTCTCTGACACAACAGAAATCAATTTTGTAAGGATTATATTAGT